AGGTCTGCGTACAACTGACCCCTCAGACCCCAACCTGTTGGGAATATAATGGGTATGTTGTTGTTGTTGTTGTATCGTTTCAAATCTTTTCTTCACAGTTCAAAGGGAACTAGAAAGTTATTGTTCCAACTGTTGAGTCAAATTGAGGTTTTGTAAGCTTTTTGTTAGATCTCAATCAGTAGAATCTTTTGGAGGGAAACATAAGTTGTTACTTATACATTTTTGGAAATTGTCTTTTGCCATAATCTTCTCTAATACCAATATTTTCTGTTTTAGATTGATATGTATGCCTTGCTAATATCAGATTATTCTTTGACAGCTGAAGCCCAAGGTAGCAGACAGAAAGCGCCAGTCGGATAATCTGAAGCGCGTTGGTGGAGATCATCATGATGTATGTGTTCTCTATATCTGTACCTGATTGTGTGTGATAAAGAGTTTGAAGTTGCAACTTCAAATTATACCAAAAGGGAGTTAAGAGTGCAGATAGAAATGATTAGTTATTGTGTGTTTTGTGATTATACTATTATAGACTTTTAATTAGTTCTCCCCTTACAGCTACTTAGGACCATTTTGTGGATACATACATACATTCACTATGGTGAAAAAGCTCTGTTGTGTTACTGTAGTGATTTTGTCAAGACATGTAAAATGGGAAATTAGACTTACTTGGTTATTTTTCGATTTTTTTGTTTTCTTTTTGTTACTTTGAATTTGAGAAGATTAGAGCTGATAATTTTTAGCCCCGAGTCTGCCCTCTTTTTATTTTATAAATTTATTCGAGCTATTTAATGTGGAGTTCTCTTGGTGGTGGTCGTGTTGAACATGCTGAACGGCCACCACAAAAACGTAAAATGTAGGCGAATCTTCTTTGAGTAAACCTCCATTGCCGATGCTGAGACAGACGGCGGTATACCGGGATGTTTTGAGTTTTCTCGATGATGTTGAGCCTTAGACGGTCTAACGTGTGTTTCACTCTATTGAGGAAATCTACGAGAGCTTGCAGCTCGTGGAGAACGAGGAGCAGCCGTATGAAGACGATTTCGATTATACTCAAGATGGAGTTCAACTACCTCAACGTCAACGGAATCGGACGGCTGCCGCCGCTGGCGGGGGACGGGGTGGTCACGGGATGAAATATGATATATTCGTCCGACACTTCATGAAGGTGCCCAATGTGGAAAAAGGTAACAAACATTTTATATATATTTGCAACTATTATCCAGCCAACACCGAGAAGAAGTGCGCTTTCAAAACCGGTGATGGGTACAGAACAATGCAACGACACATACAGGCACATCATCTGGCCGAAATGAGGATTCCCACGACCCAAATGCAATTCTTAGGCGCGAGTAGCACTGCATCCACATGCATGTCTTCTACTTTATTTCAATACTCACACGAAGACCATAGAAAAAAACTAGCTGAGTTTACTTCAGCTTCGTTGTCTCCTTTAGGTTTTGCTGATTCTAATTTATATAAAAATTTTGCTCAAATGTCTTTAAACTTGGTTGTTTCTCATGTTCCACGTACTACTCTCACTCGTGATGTTCGAAAAATTATGAGTGAGAAAAAACACATTTTGGTGCAAACTTTTGAAGAATTTCTATTTGTTGTAACATTTGGTCCAACCATTTGCAAGATAGTTTTTACAAGGGAATTACTTGTCATTGGGCAGATGATATTTTTACATTACAAAAATGTTTAATTACTTATATGTGGTTTCCTAATGCTCATACTGCTTCTAATATCGCTCGTTTAATTTCACATGTCTTGAATAGTTATAGAATTGGTAAAAAACAGCTTTTTTTTTTCTTTTCCATTTCTTTAGATAATGCTAATGCTAATACTGTATCTATACAGGAGCTCAAGAAAATTTGTCGTCCCCTTTGTGGGGGAATTTTTTTTTATATTTGGTGTATGTATCATGTCCTTAATCTTTGTGTTCAAACGGGTTATCATGCTTTGAAAGAGTCAGTCACGCCCAATAGGAATGTCTTTACTTACTTATATCGTCGTCCGCAAGAAATGAAAAAAGTGTAGATAGTTTTGTAAAGAAAAAGGTCCAACTCCTAAAGAATTCCAACCGGACGTGCCAATCTGTTGGAACTCAACTTATAAAATGTTAATGAAAACATTTGCATTTTCTTACCAATTAAATAAATTTTTTAAGAGTTCTCAATGTAAGGATTGTGATGTCATCATTACTATCTCTGATTGGTTAGATTTCCAAACAGTTTTCAAATTTTTAGAAACATTTCAAGATGCTACTATCGTATTTTCTCGTGTTACTATCCTCATCTTGTTGTAGTCAATGTGTTGCCATTATGTGGGGTATTAGAGATATTATTGTTAGTGATCCTGACAAACACATCGAACTTACAAGAGATATGTTAAGGAAACAATTAAAATATTATTTTTTATTTTCAATACATTTGTTGGTTGCATATTTGTTATATCCGTCATTATTTGTGAAAATGGGTTACTCAACCAACTTCACACACATTATGATATTATGTAGCAACTCTCACTTCCGACTGATGTCCCAGCTATCAATGTAAGGCCTAACCCACCGCAGCTCATCGAGAAAGCAAAACTTTTATTGTATGAATTGTTAAAGAAACAACAATTGGACTCTGGGATAATCTAGCATCATTTTCTTCTACTGATTCCAGGTCTTCTTATGGACAATGGGGACAGACAACGTGGGATACGAAAAACTTTAGTGACTGGTGGGAAGACAATTTTAATCCCTACAAAAATGCTAAGATCCAAAGGGCAAAAGGGACTGGATACAGTGAGTTCGATCATTACATCACGACGAACTTAATACTTACGATTGCTCATGAACCAGTCCCAGGCACAAAAATTCGATGTATTGGATTGGTGGTTAAAGATGACTCTATTTATCCTATTCCATGCCTAATGGCCAAGGAGATTTCGCTGTCCCAACCTCAACAATGGTCGTTCAACAAGCATTCACTGAAGGAGAATATACACAGGAAGCGCGACGGTCGAGGTTGATGCCACAAAACCTGGAGGCTCAAATGTTGCTGAGTGACTGGAAGAAAGATGAAATGAGGGCACAAACGGCCATGCTAACTGGCAAAGATGAAGAAGAAGAAGAGACATTCGAATTCACTAGTATTGCTAGTAATAGTGGAACCACCGAAAATGAAGAGGACTACGAGACCTTCAACTTTGATTACTAGACCGTCGGTTCCATCCTTCTACCATCTACTTTCATCAATGTAGCTAAAGTAAGAGAACTACGAAGACCTTGATTCCCAACGTAAGCGAAACGTACAAGTTAAAATATCATTTTTTAACAAAAAAATTCTTCAACTTAATTTATATTTTAATTTATAATATGTCAACTAATTCTAAGTCCAATTTATTTAAACCCTCAGAACCTGACCAAACCAGTTCCGATCCACTCGTTCGATGAACCGACCCATACNGTTAAAAAAAAAAAAAATCTGTGGCCAAAAATAAAAAAAATAAAAAAAATAAAAAAAGTGGTGGAAATCAATCAAACACACGGATTTTGAAAATCCGTGTTTCTAATTAAATTTTTATTAGAAACACGGATTTTCATAATCCGTGTTTTTTTTTTCGTTAACGGTCCAATTTAATAATAATAATAGATCTAATTTATAACACGGATTTTGGAAATCCGTGTTTAACGGGAAAAAAATAAAAAAGATTAAAACGGATTTTGAAAATCCGTGTTTATCTTAAGAACGATAAAAACGAATTTTGAAAATCCGTGTTTAGAGTGCTTTTAATGAATAAGCGGTAAATTCTCTCGCCGGAGAGCGCTCCACATTCTCTCGCCGGGGAGCTTTCAGTCGTTGTTGTGCCCTTACTGCGTTGTCGAAGAAAATTCATTCTCTTTCGCAGTTGGTGCTTTTATAGTGCTTTTTCTCTCCTTGATTACAGATTGAAATTTCGAACACTCTCCATATTTTCGAATTAGGGTTACCATGGAAACCCCAAACTATGTGGGGCAAGACGAAGAACTTTCACAGAAACTGCAGGGGTTTTCGCTATCTGAGAAGGAACACACTCTCATCGACATTCTTCAAGATGATATTAAATTTAGTGCAGACGAGTGTCAACGAAGCCTGTTCGGGAAAATCATTGGCGACCGGAGGACCAGTTGGATTGGAGTGAAGCGAACAATGAGCAATATTTGGAGGCTGTCTCAGCTTCTCGAAACTAAAGAACTTGGGCCGAAATACTACCAATTTATCTTTCAAAGCTCAGAAGACAAGGACAAGGTCGCAAAAGGGGTTAACTGGACATACGAGAATCAGTACTTGGTTCTTTCAGAATGGAAGAGGGGCCTCTCAATCAAACATCCCACATTTCAAGAGCTCAAGCTATGGGTGCAAGTATTCAATGTTCCTCTGGACTGGCTGAGCACGAAGGTGGGCCTGAAAATCGGGAAAGTCTTTAAGCAAACGGAAAATGTAGTGATAGTGGGGGCAGGGAATCATGGCGGTAAGATTATGCGACTACTAGTCAAAGTGGACCTCATGGAACCTCTTCCCCGTTGTGCCAATCTCAGGCTAGATGACCAGTTGGTGAGTGTTTGCTTCAAGTACGAAAGGTTGGTTAACCACTGTCATTACTGTGGCCTTATTGGTCATCTTGATAGAGCATGTTCTGAAATGTTGAATGATATACGCTCTAACTCACTTCACGAGGGACAATATGGCGCATGGATGAGAGCACCAGAGAACAATCACTGGGCAGGTATGAACTCCTCAGGCGCTCAAAGCCCTTCTAGACGTGACAACCCTTCATCCCCAACTCACTCTGATACACCAATAACCACACATACTTCACCAAAGCATGATAGTAACCAAATTCTCCCAATCGAAGGTACACCCTCTCACAAAGTGCCAGCCTCAGAAACCTCCACCTCCCAGACGAACAACTCAGTCCCTAACACCCCTTTAATGACACTGCAAACCACACCAAACCCTCCAAACCAAATGGCAGAGGATAACTCTCACACCCTCCAACTACAGAGTCTCAATAATGAGATGGAAATTGAAATGCCTCGTACAACAACTCCTAATAGCACTTCTCAGCAAGTAACTATAACCTGTTCTCAAAACCCAAAACCTAAGGTGTGGAAGAGATCCTCATCCAGGCTTGGCAGACTTCAAAGACAGGGTAGTAACACTCTATCTAAGGAGGATAGTAAGCAAGCCAAGAGAACCAGAGACACATCAGATGAGCCCAAAGGAGAAGATAGTCCAAGCAAGGAGGTTCAGGAGGGGAACAAAAAGCAAAAAACAGAATATCAGCATGTGGGGGTGGCCAGCCTCGAATGGCACCCAAGTGATCAATGTTAGGTGCGGTGTGGAATTGGAGAGGGCTGGGTGGGCCCTCTACAATTTTCCAAATCAGAGAGACCATTAAGGCTCACCACCCTGTTTTCTTTTTCATTTCAGAAACAAAAANATGGCTTTGTTAAGTCAGTAGTAAGAAAATTAGGGTATGATGATAGATTAGCTTTTGTGGACCCAGTAGGATTAAGTAGGGGTCTTCTTATTTTTTGGGATTCCAATGTAAATATTATTCAAGTTATAAAAAAACCTTTCTATATTGTTGTTGAATTTATTCTAGGAGCAGCCCAATCTCAATGGGGCATTTTTGTTTATTTAAGTACCTGCAAGCAGATTAGAACTTCCCAGTGGGAGGAGATGATCGAAGACAAGGTTCAATGGGGCAACAGCTGGTTTACATTGGGAGATTGGAATGACCTAAGGACTGAAAATGACAAAGCAGGGGGCAACAAGAGGAGCAGTAGGAGTTTAATAGGTTTCAACTCCTTTATAAACAGCATGGCCATGGATGAACTACCAATGTTGGGTTATCAATATACTTGGTGCAACCTAAAGAGTGGAGAAGGAATGGTGGAGGAGAAATTAGACAGAGCATTTGCTTCTATGGACTGGACTCAAGCCTTTCCAAATGCCACAGTGTTAAACAAGGTCAGAAGCTCATCAGACCACTCTCTTTTACTTCTGAACATGGGACAACAACAACACAGGAGAACAGCAAGATTCCACTTTGACAAGAGGTGGATAGGGATGGAAGGGTTCAAGGAAACAATAGAAGAAGCATGGGCTCAGAATACTGATGGCACCCCTTTCTACAGGCTTAAAGAGAAGGTTAAGAAGACAAGGGCAGCCCTATTAGTCCGGAGCTCTAAACACAAAACCCAGAACCAACTCAAGATTGAAAGCTTATCCAAAAGGCTGAAAACCCTGAGAGAAGACAAAGCAGATAACTACTGGGATCAGTGGAAGAACACTAGGACAGAACTTAATGCTGCACACAGACAGGAGGAACTCTACTGGCAGCAAAGGTCAAGGCTGAAATGGATAAAGGAAGGAGATGGTAACACTAAATTCTTCCATGCATATACTCTTCAGAAAAGGAAACAGAATGCAATCTCCAGACTTATCACTGCTCAAGGTACAATCCTTACTTCTCAACAATGGAGGGCCATATCTCAAACTTCTACTCTGATCTTTTCCACACTGAAGGGAGCTGGGATGGGGAATCCATAATACACTTAATCCCCAAAACCATTTCTGAAGACATGAATATAGATTTGTTGAAACCAGTTACTGAAGAAGTGAAAGGAGCTCTATTCTCTCTACACCCAGACAAGTCACCAGGTGAAGATGGAATGACAACATTGTTTTATCAACATTGCTGGTATCTCCTCAAAGCTGATGTCTTAGAGGCAGTGCTCAGTTTCTTCCATTCTGGAATGCTCCTGAAGTATTGGAATCACACCATCTTGTCCCTTATTCCAAAGGTACCTCAACCAGAAAACTTGAGCCAATTCAGACCCATCAGCCTCTGTTGTGTGATTTACAAAACCCTATCCAAAATACTGGCTCAAAGACTAATGACCTGCCTCAACTGCTGCATAAGCCCTCACCAATCTGCCTTTGTGAAAGGAAGGCAACTAATGGACAACATCATCATAGCCCAGTAAGCCTTTCACTTTCTCAACAGACATTCCACAGGACCCAATTACTTTATGGTACTGAAGCTGGATCTTATGAAGGCCTTTGACAGGGTAGAGTGGCATTGTCTACAAAGGATCATGACTCAAATGGGCTTCCACTTAGACTTCATCAAGTTGATAATGGTTTGTGTTTCAACCTCTTCAATTTCTTTTAAGGTTAATGGCAATGTGAGTGGCTACATCACACCATCAAGAGGGATCAGACAGGGGAATCCTTTGTCTCCCTACCTATTCATAATAGTAGCTGAACTTCTTTCAGCCCTGATCACAAACTCTCAGCAGCAAGGGCATATTAATGGTCTCAAACTTTCAAGGAATGGTTCTGCTATTTCTCACTTGCTATTTGCTGATGACTCATTGCTATTCAGTAAAGCAGGGGTTGACCAAGCCAGACATCTCTTAACAATTCTGGAACAATACAGGCTCTTCTCTGGTCAGAGAGTAAATTTGCAGAAATCTGGAATTTTCTTCAGTAGGAACACCCCACAAGCTCTGAAAGATAGAATTTGCAATGTCCTCCAAGGGATTGTCCCTCATAGATCAACTAGATACCTTGGGCTACCTTTGGGAATAGGAAGGACCAAAAAAGAAGTATTTGAGTACATTCTGGATTCAGTCAGAGCCTAGTTACAGAGTTGGAAAAACAAGCCACTGTCAACAGCAGGCAAAGAGGTCTTAATCAAGTCTGTCCTTCAGGCATTGCCTATCTTCTCAATGACCTGCTTCAAGATTCCAGCTTCTGTCTGCAAAGAAATCTCAAAACTCTGTGCTGCTTTTTGGTGGAAATCTGGAGATCAAAACACCTCAGGCATACATTGGAGGGCATGGGAAAGAGTTACTCTACCTAAACTTAATGGGGGTCTGGGGTTCCTTGATATCAGCATCTTCAATAAAGCCCTCATTTGTAAACAGCTGTGGAGGATTGCCTCAAATCCAGACCTCTTGGTGAGCCAAATAGTTAAGGACAGGTATTTTCCTGAACATTCCATTCTGAAAGCTGAGAAAACACAAAGAGGATCTTGGTTATGGAACAGTTGGCTATCAGTGATGCCACTCTTTACAAAATGTGTGAAAATTGAGATCAGGGATGGCACATCAACTAAAATTGAAGACTTAAATTGGGTGCCAGAGTTGAAAAAGCCTCATCCCATTATGATTGATATTGCCAGGGGTCATTTAATTTGGGTTAGGGATTTGATGCTGAATGAAGGGAGGGAATGGAATACATGGCTGGTGGAGCAGGTTTTTGACTCTGATGATAGCTCTGCAATCCTCAACATAAACACCCTGAATCCAACAAGACCAGATAGGTGGCTTTGGGGTATTTGCCCTAAAGGTCAATTCTTAGTTGCCAGTATTTACAAGATCCTAGCAGCCCAAAAGATTAGTCAGCTGGATATTCCTGAGTCAAGTTCAAGCAACCTCAACAATCAGCTAATTTATAAAGATGTTGGCATTTGAAAATCCAAGGGAAGCTCAAACATTTCCTCTGGAAATGCATTTCAGACACCCTTCTAGTAGCAGTGAACCTGAGGAAGAGAGGAGTGGAGATCAACCCCATATGCTCCATTTGTGGAGATCACCCAGAGACAGTAGAGCATTTGCTGTTTTCATGTTCTAGAGCAGAAAGGATATGGGAGAAAGCTCATGTACAATGGGATGGGCTCAAAAATCATACTTTCTCTTTTAGAGCTTGGTGAAACCAGATCAGTTCCATCAATCAGATTGAGTTGGTGAAGGATAGGATCCAATTATCCACCTACCTACTGTGGTGGCTTTGGAAATCCAGAAATCATTCGGTGTTTAAAAAATCTCTGATGCCTAAGCACATAGTGATTGAAGCTGCTCACAAGGACTGGATTGAATTCGCTACAACTTTAAATGTATCCTCAGGCTGGGTTGGTTAAGGGTTTATGGCAGTCTTCTTTACAGTTAGTTGCTTTTATTTTATTTTTTAGCTTTTGGGGACTATGTATTCTAGCTAGGCCTTTGGCAGTGGAGAGATACATGTTCTGTTTCTTTTCTTTGTTTTAGCCTTTGAGGTTCTAGGTACTTTCTATAGTACCTCTCATTTTTATTTTACTTCTTTCGGTTGGGCTTTGCTCATGTACTCGGACTTTGTTCGCTCCTGTTTTAGTAATATCACCCCTATCGTTCTGGCAAAAAAAAAAAAAATCCGTGTTTAGGCTGATATAACCCCAACAGCAAACCCCCAGACCACTGCGCCTGCGAATTTTGTTTCACAAACATATTTTTATGTCTTTTGTTCGATTTTCGGCGAATTGAAGCTCCATTTAAAAAATATATATATTTTTTGTTGAAGCTCCATTAAAAAAAAAAATTATTTCGTGGATTTTCGGCGAATTGAAGCTCCATTAAACCAAAAAAAATTTTAACCAATCATCGGAGAAGAGGTTAGTTTTTATTTTAATGTAATGTAATATTATTTTTTTGTTGTTTATGAATTTTAAGATATATATTTGGTTGATTGAATATTGTTTATAAAATCTTGAATATTGGTTTAATAGTTGTGTTAAATGGTTATAATTTGTTATTTGCTATTGTTTAGAAAATCTTGAATGTTGGTTTAATGTATGTTGAATATTTATCCGAATTGTTTATGAATTTAATGTTATTGTTGGAAATGTGTTTTAACTGTAGATTGATAAAATAATAACTGAAATTTTCTCGGGTGTTTGATTAGCCATTTTAAATGTAGATTGGTGGTTAGGGTTTTTATGGTGTTTTTTATAAATTAATTGACAATTTTTTTTGTTGGAGTAAAGATATAATTAATTATATGTTGTTGTTGGAAATGAGTTTTAAATGTAGATTGGTAAAATAATAATTGAATTTTTCTCGTGTGTTTGATTAGCCATTTTAAATGTAGATTGATGATTAGGGTTTTTGTGGTGTTTTTTATAAATTAATTGACAATTTTATTTTGTTGGAGTAAAAATATAATTAATTATATGTTGTTGTTGGAAATGAGTTTTAAATGTAGATTGGTAAAATAATAATTGAAATTTTCTCGGGTGTTTGATTAGCCATTTTAAATGTAGATTGGTAAAATAATTGAAATTTTAAATGTAGATTGGTAAATAATAATTGAAATTTTCTCGTGGTGTTTGATTAGCCATTTTATGTTGTT